ACAGCATAGACTACAGCAAAGTCTTTCGCTTGAGCTTTTTCCATTTTCTGCTCTTTCAGCATCTTGTTCATTTTCAACGAAAGTGAGGGCTGATCTTTGGGGCTGTCGTGATGGACTTTTTCTACAGAGTCCTTATTGTTTTTCTCCTCCTTCTTTTCCTTTTTCTTAGACTTTGTGTCCTCTTTTTTGGAATGGTGCTTGTTATGTCGATGGTGATCAGATGTCTTTTCTTCCTCCACAGAATGAAGATCAACTGTATGTGATTCTATGTGTACTTCATTAGGCTTTTGAAATTCTAGATCTTTCTTCACAGACTTTTTGTTAGCCATTTTAATCTCACTTGGTTTAGGTACATCTTTCTTGGTGCTTTCTTCTTTGTTGCTTTTTTTGTCAACACTCTCTTTTTTTGATGCCTCCTTCTTCCTCGATTCTGAAAGTAGGAAAACTGTATACATAATAATTGCATAATTCACTTTAATACTTCACTTTAACCTCAAATCTATATGTATGTATGTATGTATGTATGTATGTATGTATGTATGTATACGTATTTATAAATAGATGTGTAAACATAGATGAATAGAAAGACAGACAGAGACAGTGAAATTACTTCAGGGAAAATAAGCAATTATCTATAACAGAATGTTACCAATTTTGATTACTAAATAAATACATTAACATAGTAAGTATAAAGAAACAACATACTTCTATTTATTATTTTTTTTCACTTTGAAATATTAACCATTCTTATTAGTCCATATCAACAGTCCACCTCATTGCAACTTGTAATACCATTATCATACAAAGTAGAGAAAAATCATCAATTATTTATTTCATTGCAATGCTTCTGATTTGTGTCATTTGCTAACAACATGCCAAGCCACAGAGTCCAACACCCGCCACAACGCCATGACTCAAAGAAACTTGCCATCAGCATCTCCTCAGAGATACAAAATTAGTCAGGAAAGCAACTACAAGCTAGGCCACCTTGCATCATGTTACAGTTTCCACAACGATCAAAGCCAATTGTTCCTATGCTTTTTTTGTCTATTAATCTCCATGGAGATGGTGCATACATTCCACATTATTATAATCACTTCACTTTGTTAGGAATATTTTTTCATATGCAGACAACATGCAGTGATGTTAGGTAAATGTTTAGTAATGCAGTGAAAATATATATCTCGTGTTCTGCTGTGGAAAAGGGGGGGAGGAGGGTAGTTCAAATAAACATTGGTATGGGGGGGGGGGAGAATATTAACCAGTGTCATTCCCCAGGGTGGAGGGGTACTTGGGCTCCAAATGCCACCCCATTTAAGGTGGTAGCTCCACAATTGTGACCATAATTAGCCATCATTAAATCTACAGGTACAGACAAATAAGTGTAGATAAAATATAAATTTTCAAAGGGTGTCACATATATAATATATAGATATAGATGTATGTGGACATTCTTTCTTCAGCTTTACAGGACATGTTTCTAATGGCACTAATTCATTGTGACCAGGTAGCTCTGGGAAAATCTTTGGCCAAACACTATAAATATTCATTGCCCCTTCACTCTGTGTACTTCCCACACATAGAAAATAACTACTTATTATCTTTCTATTCTGAGAGCATTATCAGTATAAATACCAGCAGACTTGGCTTGATCTAATGAAAGCTGCAGGCCATTGCCTGTCAAGATCTGGCGGCCATGTAAAATCAATACCTAACTAATGTGGAAAAGAATACTCAAAGAAACACCGGCTTCCGTTTCCGAGAGGAATAAATCCTGGGGGATAGGGCTTATGAGGTTTTATCTGAACCATGGTCAAGGTTGAGAAAGCATGGACAACGTACTTTACGTTGTTCCACAATAATTGATTACCACCCGAGTGCAATTTTCAACCGTCATGATTTTCAAATAGCATCTGTGGAGAAGGAAAACAATCATACTTAATGCTGAATAAATCTGTCCGCTGAGAGAACTAGAAATTGTCGCAATTATTGTCAATACAAAATATCCCTAAGCTATGAGGTGCCATTAACGTGACTCAATATACTATCTGCTGGCCAGAAATGCTTCTTAAATACATAAGAAATCATGATTACACTAAAAAAATAATAAAATAAAAATTCTTTTTATAGCATATAACATTCTTACAAAAAAATTCAGCATATTTTTCATTTCATTTTCAGCTAGTTTAATAATGAGCACAAAATATTTAATTGATAAAAAAAAAATTATCCCAAACTTTATTTTTTCATGTTTCAATTCTTGATTCAAAAAAATGTCTGTTTATGGCCTTTGTTCAATATAGCTCTCCCTATGGTTTTCAATCACAAAAAATGACAGTTGAAATATGTAAACCCAGGATTTCATTGCACAGAAAAGCATATGGTAGGTTCTTCTGTTACTCAGGAACCGTTCCTAGAGAATAATTATTTTACAGCTTGTATACACAATGTTGTTTAGAGATGATAAGACCATGAAATAGGAAACTACTTGATGCAACTTTAACTAAATCAATCAGTGTTGATGCGAACGTCACAGCTGTTTAGTTTTGGTAATATTATATCATTAGCACCAACCCACAGTGTATTAGCTGAAAAACCTGTCAACAGACCTCCCTTAATGGCTTCCTTGACAAAAATCAATATACGGCCAAGCGCCTAATGCTTGCTACATGCTGTATGCATTGTTATTATTTCATTAGAACTTGAGTGGTGGTAACAACATACGTGAATATTTAAAAAGATCAATTCCCAGTAATTGTTGATTTCCTACGGTTTATTTCAACACCACAGATAAGCTGCGTTATGAAAGTCATGTCGTCACTCTGAAACCATTTAGCATGTATGAGGGCTGAGTCACTGGGGTGGAAAACAATGGAAGTTTTGAAATAATCAGTTAATTAGATAACTCTTACCTAATATACATACATTAAAGGCATACACACACATGCAAAAAATTGATTTTTTCCAGGAATTATTCAATAATACTCAAAATTTCATAATATTACAAAATATTGAATTGATCATTAACTGATTAATTTGACAGTAAAAACACTTAACGGCAGATTAATCAGT